TCAGGAATTGCTTGGTCACCATTATATTTGAACTTTTTAATTGGCGTACTTTCAGATGATTTAGAGATTAGTTCTTCAAACATATGTTTTGTTTCTTTTACACTTTTTATTGCTTCTTCTTCTATGTCTTCCGACACTTTAGTTTGTTCCTCTTTTACTTCCAAATCAGGTATTGGTGTATCTTTTACAGAACTCGTAAATAGAGGTTTTCGTTTAGCTTTCTCGCTAATTTCACTTACGTCCTCTGACGACCTTGAAAACACCTTTTGCAACTCAGCAATTTTTGGTCCAACTCTATGCGTTGGTGTTGAAAATCTCAAATCTTTCTTGCTTTCGGAAAGAGTTGATTCATCTATCTCATAATCAATGTCTTTTGCAGAGTATCTTTCAGATATACTTTCTACCTTTTCATAATTTTCGTCATCTATTTGAGCCAATGTTTCTGTTGATCCCTTTAAGACACCTTCCTCTTCTTTCAAACTTGAAAGTTCATCCTCCGAATCAATAAATTCTCGTTGTATTTTACGCAATGCTTCCACTTGAGTCGAAGATTTAAATGCGTGTTCTTCAAATGTTCGTATCTTTGCTTTAACATCGGATGACCCTCGTCGAATATAAATAACTTGCTCCGCTTTTAAAATGTCAATATCTTCTGGTTTAATTGGGCTGATGGAAGCATCTTTTGTATCAACTAAATCCGTTGATGTTGCTGCTTCGGAAGTATCAATATGAGAAATGCCCATTGAAGAACTTTCTGGAAAATCAATAGGACTAGTTCCGGTATCGGTAAATTGTGGAGACTCTTCTTCATTGAATGCTCCTAGAGGAGCAAAATCATCAGGTTGAATTGGGCTAAGGCCCGCATCTGTCAGTTCATGTTCTTCTTGTCCATCGGCATTATCAGATACAAATCCGGTCGTTTGCATTCCCGGAACAAACCCAGACGGTTGTTGAACAAAACTTGTCATTGTATCAGTTAATCCTCTTGTAATAGAGATTCCAGTGTCACTAATGTGATGTGAACCACTTCCATCAGTAACAGGAGATTCAAGTTGAGTATCAGTTACTTCAGAATCATATCTATATACTTTCTTCATTCCGCTGAAGTTGACGGTTTCGTCACGTTTTCGTTGTGTAGCTTCAGTTATGGTAGTATCAGAAATACTAACCGGTTGTATTATGTACGCTTCTTTTTTAATAATGCTCTCTTCGGAAGATTTAGAATCACTTGTTTCGGCAGTAGTCGTCATGCCTACATCTACCCTTTGGGAAGTTTCAGTTCCACTCATGTCTTTCCGGGTGGTAGTCACGGAAATATGAGATTTGGAATGAATGGAAATTTCAACATCCTTTGTACTGTATAGTGTTAGTCTACTCTCGGCAGTTGCAGTGGTGTCCTTAGTATGAACCTCCTTACGTCCAATTACTAATTCTAAAGTGGGATTAACTTTATAAGCGACAGGAGAAGATTCGTCTTGTGGAATGTGTTTCTTATCTAATGGGGAAGTCCCGCGTGTAGTAAAAGCTTGTGTTTTTGGAATGTCCTCCTTAACAGTGCTAAATGAAATATGTTTCTCCGGCGTCTTTTGAGTCGCCGAAGTAGTCGATGTGGTAGCTGTGCTTTGAGTCACAGTCTCACTATTTTTGTCTTTGATTTTAGACTCTGTTTTTACAGATGTCGTAACCGTAGTGTCAATGTCTTTATCTTTGCCTGCTCCTCCATGAAGCCGTTCCACAGTCTTAGCCTCTTTCCTTTCCCAATCTTCTGGCTTCTTTGAATCCTTTGCTCCCTTTTCCTCAGGTGAGCCAAATGCTCTAATTCTTAATTCCCCTGGTCGTACCGGGTCGTAATCGATAACTTTATAGACGTCACGTTCAACGCGCACAATACCCGTTAGGTCACTATCACCAACATTGTTAATTTTTTGCTTAACAATGTCTTCCGTAGGCGCATTATTAGAATCTGCGTCCAAATCTTCAGTGGAAGCCAAACGTTTTCGCTGCCCGACAAATAACTTAGCTTGATCTTGATAATACTGCTGTATATCATCACAAGTAGTTATATCCTGAGTAGTAATATCGTCTAAACAAGTACCAGGGTCGCGTCTCTGGTAACCACCCAAATAGGAAGACTCAACTTGGGGGCTATCAGTGCCCGGAGTAGGTGTCTCCAGGAGGCATGTATCTTCGCGGAAGCCGTCCGTGTCTAACGAATCATCGTCGTCTTGCGGAGACGCGCTGGCTGTTGACGTAAGGAGATACAAAAAAAGGTATTGAGGATCACGTTTGATTTCAACAATTTAGTGCGGCGTTGTGTATACTCGTATCAATAACTTATCTCCGTCACACCGGTAAATAGTGTGTACTTAGTAACGTGTGTACCAGTTTCCTATCGTCATGAAGTATCTTTGACAAATTGAATTCTCAACAAATTTCAGTCACGTTGATTACCAGAAAATAAATCATAGTGAGGGTAACAACTCAAACCCACACTCTCACACAGACCCGCACTCTCATTTGATAATAACAAATAAAATGTGTATGAATTATAACTTTGTCGTTTGATGAGGATGTACTTGGCGATGAATTTGAGGAACTTTTGGTATCTGGTGAACCTAAATGGAATCGTCACAGAGGAAGATCAAATATGGGAAGTCCACAGCCATGTATAATAATTAAAATGTATCAAAGCGAGCAAGACATTCTTCAAAGCGTTGAATCTAAAAGTATGTGTAACTCTTATTCCGACCAGAAGCATCTGCTCCATGTATAATGAACTAAAATAACTAAAGTAGTTCATAGTAAGGCAAACTAAGTAGCAAATCAATCGTAAAAATAATCAGCATATTGTAGAAAGCGGAAAACGTAGCGCCTTTATAACCGCGACCCACTTTTCTATCATGAATTATTGTATATTTGCACAAATTTACCGAGTCTATTTGGTTAGTTCTTATATTAGGTATTAGTAACCCTTACTGACCTTATTTAATGTTGACTCAAGCATTGAACCTTTCTGAAAATCCCAGCCCACAATCGCACGGTTACACATCAAAAACAACCCTCAGAAACACAAACACACGCACAAATCACAGCTATTGATTGTGGGCTGGACATCTTCATGCACATACAAGAATATTCAATAGAAACCCTACTTGAAATGGAGTTTGCATTACGGTCCACCAAGCTTTAACAGTGACTGCTGTTTAGTCTTGAACAATTTCTAAACTTTAATCAATTATCGAGTGACAAATCCCCCAATCAGCAGTAAGCATTTTCAATAAATACTTTCTTGTCATGGCTGGTTATAAATCAATTAGCAAAGTATTCGGAAAGAGAGAAGGCCAACAGTATGCAAGTTTATGTATAACAAAATTGGACTGAGTTTTTAAGTGTACCAATATGAACGTATGTAAATGATGAAGATGAAATGAATGATTCAAAATAAGTGTAGTTGGATGAATAATATACAAGCTAGATCACACACATCCACAAACACAACATCAGGTGAGTAGTTTACTCAATGGGCAACCACGGTACTGTATCCTGGTATTGGAAAACAAACGATGGAAGAAAGCCATGCCCCAATACAAAAGAAGCATCTCAATCGTAATTTGTACTCCAATCAATAGATACCAATCAAAATACACCGTTTGCTTCAATGTCATAGAGGTGTAAGAATATTCCATCGTACCCATAACCGAATGAAATATTTACAATCACTCAAAGGAAAACAATGACTGTGCAAAAAGAAAATTAGTAAGTACGTGTTCGATAAAACAAATAGAAACTTTCAACGAAACGGTTACTAAATGATACAACAAGCAAGTTTATTTATAGCGTATAACAAGAAGCAATGCAAATAGCTCTATGTCGTCACTAGGTCTAAATCCAATAAATCTAGATTAATAGAAATAATCTTAAATTAAACGGGGGAGACGATTCGTTCGTTAAAGGAAAATCGCTCCCTCATTTGAATGATTTATTTTCTGATTTATTATCAAATTACTCTTATCGTACGTTATTCAATTAGTAAATTACTTTAACAATTGCATTTCAGCACTCACAAACGTTTACTTCATTATCAATTCATTATTATATTCAGAATTATGTATAAACTACTACGGTTTTATCATTGTCTGTGATAATATCAATTTTAATATTCAAACGCATAAGCATATCGCATCAAAGCAATTAGTAATAATACATCGAAAAGTTAGTGTTTTATTGTAGGTATGTGATATTGTTAAGAGTGTGTAACATAAAATAAACTCAGAAATCATTAGAGGTAACAAACATTGTTGTCTGATTCGAAAGGGGGTGGGGGCAAAAATTAGGTTCGGTTCCAAATTCGGAACTTTGTTTGGATAATTATTAGCAATAATAATTTGGGATTAATGCAAATCCTTATGCTACCAAAATTGTAACTAAATAAACTTCTTGTACCGTTGCAAACCCCATTTTAATGTGGCATATCAATCATAATTTGGTACATGGCAATCGTATCGATAATATTAATATATTTTTCTTACTCACCGGAAATATCTAGCAAATGCACTCTGAGTTAAATCGAAACACTATCCGCGAAACGCGTAAAAGTGGACTGCGTTCGTTTGTAATACGGTGGTCGCCAGCGTAATGGAATTAGAAGCAATATAAGTGCACTAGTTGGATACGAACATTATGTGTGTTCCTCCAATTAGACTTAAAATTATTTCATCTTTGTCCTGCTTTTGCTTTAAGAGGTAAGCAAATAATATTTTATAATTTAATTTACTTCATTAAAGGCGCTTGTTCAGAATTGACCTCGACAATATGGAAATGTTTACGTTTTGGTTTCGTCTTGCCACAAATAATTGATATGCCACATTGTGCCAACATGAAAACATAGTTTCCTTTCGATCTATAACTTGTATTCCATTGAGTCCGCAAAAAGTATGTTTTCAGTTGTAATCTACTAAGCTTAAAAGATATCTAATGTGCTAATATGACAAAAATCCTACCTTGCAGGGCGGCCATTTGCTCTCGTAGGATGAAATCAGCAGGACTCGGTGGTGGTGTCTTGGAGAGTTTCGGTGATTGTGGATCTGCTCAAAAAATTTATTTAATTCATCATGCAAAATAAATAAAATATTTAAATTTTACCTTCTTGGGCCGAGACGATTTTAGGTATAGCTGTCTTCTTCTCCAAACCATGTGTAACACCTTCCACTAACACTGATTCCTTACTGTCATTATCCTTTATGTGCGTGCTCCCAGTCACCTCAATTGTGCGTGTTTCGGTCACAGTTGTAGTTGTCGTTGTGGTTGTCGCGGTTACACCAGCATCCCTTTCATCTTTAGTGGCGTCTGCCACAGAGGACTTTGTGGTTTTTACTTCCTCTGTGGTAGACTTTGACTCAGATGGTGGTTGCATTGTGGCTTTTTGTTCGACTTCTGCGATTTTGTCTTCAACCATACTCTGTCGCTTGATTGAACTAATCTCTTGCACTATTTCAACACGCTGTGATGATGCCGGAATGGTTCGATCAACCGAAAGACGTTTCTCAATAATTTCACGTTTCTCTTTAACAGTTTTACTAAAGTCTTCCTCGTCTGATTTCTCTTCGACTACCTTCTCTTCGGCCGAATACTTGTCATAGCTTAGGCGCTTCTTATCTTTTATCACTATCGATTCGATACTCTCCGAATCTTTCATAATGTCTTTATCTTCTAAATCACTCCTAATTCTGTATTTAACGACAGTCTCTTCGACGTTCAGGCACTGGGGTATAATATCATCCCGACCGATTTTGCGTAAGGCATCTTCGAGTACACTGCTCTGCGCGCGGTTACTAGACTGTGAGATCCACATTCTAAGCATCGACTGCGCTTGTTTTGCCACACTCTCCGGGTATTCCGATTTGATAACGTTTATCTCGGACGACGTTAGACCCAATTGGCCGGCCAATGCAACCCAGTCATCGCCTAACAAGTTACTCATATCAGCCAAACGCGGATCAGGCCGATGGTATTCATAGCTATCCTTGAGGAATTCATGCCGCTTGAAGTGTTCACTATCCGTGAGTGATATCGTGTCCGCTACAATGTCATCAGGTAAGACGATGTTCAAAATGCAAACTGGTTGTTGAGGCGGCTCTCCTTTAGCGACCTGTACACAAACAAATAAATAATAAAATAACACTTACTTTGCGTCGCGAACGGCACACTTACTTTTGGTTCTCGCATGAACAAACATCGTCCAAGAGCCTCAGCATGCTGATCTTTGACACGAACAGAGAACGGCAGTCGATTTTCTCTAAACGCTCTAAAAGCAAACTGCAATTGTTCTCCACTCTTGGTAATAGGCACTAAATTTCCAGCAAATTCAATGTATTGCGGCTTTCCTTCAAGTACTTCCACATCGCGACTCTTTGCCACCTCTGAGAAGTGTTCCTGGTGTTCCAAAGTCTTGTCCTCTTTATCATCTGTCATACAAAACACCCTGAGTCTAGCCTCTAACGGATCTACCCGTTTCGCAAAAACAACGAACTTGGCCATGAATGGAACGTGAATGGCTTCTCTGTAATTTTTTATTAAATGTTCGCATTGTTAGTAATGCAGAACAATAAAGAAGAATTGTAAAATAAATACAAACCTATATAGTTCAGTAGCCATTTTTGTGGCGTCCCCCACATTCCGACAATCCATTAGCCAAAACCTCGCCGATACGGTGGTCGTAAACGAAACACAGTCGTTGACAAATGTAAGAGGTGTTGATCCTGTGACGTCCTCCCATTGAGCTCGTGTCGTTCCACCTTCGAAGAGAAGAACAATATGCACAATCGTTTCTAACGACCGTAACTCGCCGCAAGATTCAATATAAGAGCTAACTTACTTACGCTTAAACATTCAAACATGCAATCATAAGTCCTACAAAATGTTTAGTTATTCATTGATGGGGTTAATATAGTTACTGATTCGTTTGAATAAATTTGGTACTCATTCGCAAACAACGTGACATAAATGCATAAACGAAACGGAAAACAATTGGCGTTGCTTCTGTACATGTAACGAACGTAATGGAAGAAGGGGTAAATTAATAGTCGTGAACGTAAAACAATCGTGTATGAATAAAGTTGATAAGAGAAAAGCATTCCATTGGTGAACAGTATATGTCAAAAGCATTTTTAAACAGCAGCATTAGCAATAGCAGCAGCATTGGCACCAGCAAAACAGTTAGAAGCGTTTTTGTTTCGTATTGTTTATTTGTAATATATTTAATACATTATAATGTGGTTTCAGAAAAGACCAGTCGCGGGGCAACTAACTTCCGATATAAAAACACGAACCAATAAAACTGTTTGTTTCGATAGGCAAAGAGAATAAATTTCAGAAGAAATACGACTGATCTAATAAAAAAATTTCGCTATTTTCAAACCAATCAGATAATTGTAAATAATATCTTAATTATTATGATGCAGCAGGTCTAAAAGTGATAATATTGTATATTGCAATTAGTGTTTTGTGATTAATTTTATTTCATAATAAATATCGTTGATTGTAAATTAAAGAAACCTCTGTCAAATAAATAAGAACAACTTATCACATTTTAGAAAAGCATAAATGATAAAATCAGAAACGGTCAACTGATTGGAAATTATTTGAAACACAGTCAAAAAATCGTCAAAATAAATTAAAAAATTAAACATGAATGAACCAAATTTTGTTAACGCGCCGTCCAGAAAAGTAAACTTGTCGATTTATGAAGATCATACATAATGAACCATACGGAATATAAAAATTCTTTGTCATAATAATAGTTATAATATAATAGAAAGATATACATTCTAATAAGAGGGGGCAGCCCACAATATGAGTTAGTTACCTTTGAGCGATCTTTTCCGAAACACCCCTGGATCGCGTGTGAAAATGATTAAGGAGCGCATTAGTTATTTACCATTATTTTTAATTTCATTCATTTCAAAACTTTTTTACTTAAAGGTTCGTTTCGCGATATTCGCAAACTCAACAGTATCATCATGACGTCATATGGAAACTGGTAACCAAACGGAAATCGTTAAAAACAACAAAAAGACTGACAACTTAAGAAAAGACCTGATAAAAATAGCTCCAAACTAATGACGTCATAATGTTGAAACGGCGCATTACATCTGGTAATTGAATAAAGCAGGCGGCTGGCAAACTTTTTATTACTTTGTCCGCTGTTTTTTTGAAACGCAACTAATGTACTCGTTCGTAAATGATACATGCTGTTTCGATGAATGGTTCACTAAGATGAGTCTGATGTGTTTCAAATTTTTTGAGACACGAGCGAAACGAAACAGAACTGATCACACAAAAACGATTCTAATGCCAAAAAACGTAGATCTTTATACAGACAATTATTATACCTACCGCCTATATGTTCAAAACTCGCTAACGTTTATCTACTCGAGATTGGAATAGAAAAAATGAACAACTAAACAAACGAAACTAATCAAAAATCAAATGTTTACCTATGTTAATAAAAATATACGCATAAACTACGGATATTTGCTAAAAATGGTACTTGAAGCTTGCCAACCCCTCAACAAACAACTGAATACAAAGGCACAAACAACACCAAAAATATTGTATTATTGTTACTGACAAAGGTTCAGTACGTATTAAAATATCATTAGTATAAGAAACGTGAAAGACGCACAAACCATGTACATTATTAAACAATAGTATTCATTCGATTCAAAATACACACGTAATTTTAAACTCTATCAAAAATTCTAATGTGGGATTTATACGACTAATACTAATTAATATGATTGTGTTAAAATGAATACTATTGAGTAAATATGTACGAAAATCAATTAAAACATAAGTAAAATCACTTTGTGTAAAACATTTAATCTAATTTTGAAAACGAAATAAAGTCAAAGAAGAAATCAAACGAGAAACTCCCCCACTCCAAGAAAACACAAAAACCTGTGCTTCGATTTCATCAAAAACCAAACTTAAACAAACGTACAAACTTCACACAAAAGAAACAAAAACTATGGCAGTATATAAAATTGTTATTTTCTGTTTGTTTCATGATTCGGACAGAAAAAAATTGTCTTCCTATGAACTAAAATGCTACGTGTCACATATGAAAACTCACCAGTGATCGAGCACAGCAGTCGGAGGGTAGGTGTTGATCCGGAGTATTGATTGATCATTCCTTGGGAGTGCGCCCTCGGGGCCGGCATACTCAGCGTTATCGCCTTGTGGAACTTTCGACGACGCGGCTCGACCGTCACCACCGGTGATACGGCGACTCCGTGTCCCAACAATTTCGCTGTTAACTCCGGGTCGATCGGTTGCGCCTAATAAAAATTACCATCGTATTCAAGGGATAGTTGATGACTGTTGAAAGAGTTTGCTTGTGGGGTGAAATGATTGGGACAAAAGAGGCAGCCATCGAATGAAAATCCGAAAAGAAAAAGACACAAAGCAAGGTTCGACAGCCAACAATAAATAAGTCAATAAATTGTTCAAACAAAATTAAAGCGATGTGCAAATAAATAAAAAAATATGCAAATAAAATAAATAAAAAGAAGTCAATAAGCAAAAACGGCGTTATTGGTTAATTTTTCAATGAAATAAGTGTTAAATGAGTTGAGCACGAGCGCCCAATAAGAAAAATCTTGAAAGTAGTTAAACTTTAATAAATCGTCGAATGCGAACCATGCTTTGTATACGTTATGAACTGCTTTTTTCTATCTAAATTTTCATTTTCTTTGGCTTAGAAAAGGAAAATAACGTCGACATTTTTGGACACACTTACTTTGTTGCTATATACACAGAGTGCCCAAAAAGTCGACGTTCAAGTATTAGTGTTGCAATCAATCGAAAAGTTAGTTTAACTAGTTTTGTTAGTTTTTTTATTGGGCACTCAACAAGAATGAAAAATTATTTGCGGTTAATTACATTTGACACTTATCCATTTAATGTAGGTAATAAAATTCATGAAAATTGCAAAGGTCAATTGATTCATCTTCAATTTGTGTTAATTTGTTAGGTGCAACGTGAAACTAGTGCGTCCCTTACATTTACATCAATTTTAAGTAATGAAATCATTAGAATGAACTTATTTATATAAAGCACAATTAAGAATTACGTTAATAAGTCGCTAAGAAATTATTCACAAAATGATGAAAACTACTTTCAAATATTTAAATAAATATTAAGTATAAATCAGTACATTTTTTATGTAGGTAAATTACGCTGGCGCATTAAGTAAAATATAAATAAAACTGCGGTGAAAATAAAAATGAAAAACCTGAAATAGCTTGACAATAATTTATAATAAAATGTTTGATGTGGCAGTAATTTTTGCATGCAACTTGTTTTCAATGTTCAACTATGTGATGATGATGCATTACTAAAATATTCGTGTCATGATAGAAGCATTTACTTAATCAGAGATTCCCAAATCCTAGAACCACCCTATTATGATCAGCACACCCCCATTTTACCATTGCTTGGAAATCCCTGCTTTAAATAATCAGATATCTCGATATTTACTTGGCATTTGCGGAATAGCTAAGTTATCTCTTTGAAACGCCAAAGAAAGCTTAATTAACCCTTTCCAATTAAAAAGAATCTGTTATTGTCAATGCTGGTAACGGCTTCACTGAATTTATAACTGTTTGACTAGAAATATTCTCAACCTCAAAAAGTTATGCATAACTTCATATACACTAAAAATACTTTTTGATAAATTTGTACTCTGGCCTGATTTAACGCATCGCCGATTTATATATAAAACTGTTATTATAATTACTGCAATATATTCTTCATTAGGCCGCCTCAGCTATGAAAATATCTTCTTGAAACTCTAGACTAGCGGTTTTTTCCTTTGCCGAAATTGTATATCATTATGTAAAACGTCATGCAAACAAAAGCAATTGCGATTAAACTCTTCACCACACCAACGACCAGCGTTTCTTTTTGGGTATGTGATTAACGGTTATACGTCGCAAACATTCAAAGGGTACACCCTTGCGCGGCTTAAATAGATTTACCTGCAGTCCAACTTTGATCTTCTTTGTAAGCGCGCCCTGTGGGAACACCGCTTGCACCTGTGGTACAACCGTACTTGATACCATGCCGCCATCAGGTCCGATGGCGTGCACTTCCTGTCGAATGCGCGAAACAACCGCAAAGTATTGTGGGAAGTCATGAGTCACAATTCGCGTTATACGCCCAGATGCTGTATCTTCCAACTGACTAATATCTAAGTATATAGAGAACAATGAGCGATTAATTTAAATATCATCAAAGTCACATAAACATCAATGCCATACCTTCAGCCTCAAAACTTGATTGCAAAACTTCATTCAGAATATCTTCAGACGATTCAACAGTGTGTTCTCGCCATGTTTCACCATTATCAGAACGCAGGATGACTATTTCACGTTCTTTACCACGCAGGGCAGCAAAATGCGGTACTTCAATTATTACCGGTCTACAAAAAAACATTCTATAGTATCTCATTTATATTGACGTTCAGGAAAACCCTACCCCAAGAATCGAGCACCGACTGGTCCTAATTCCAAAACTCTGCTCGCCAAAGCTTCACCTTCCATTAATGGCGGCGGATGTGGGGACCGTTGTGGTCTCACATATCGACAAGTGATTCTTGTTGGACTACCAGCTGAACGCGGTGGTACAATTACACGCACTCCACTGTGTCTGCAACCCCTCATAGCACCACCACGTGCGTCCACGAGGAACGACACCAAAAAGCTAGAATATCAGTAAAAACAATAAGAATATAACAACATCGCTACACATGCAACGGGATAGACTAGCAACTTACTTCTTCCAATGTAATTTTCTATTTTGGGTGATAGGGCAGCGTTAGTAAAATGAAGCATAGGTAGTTAATAATCCTGAGGTTTAGTTTAAATTGAAATCTATTCTGCGGTACATACCCGATGTTAATTGGATGTCGGGCAATGTCAATATTATCAGGAGTATACTTCTTCATTTCCGAATAATTCTGCTGGTAGTAGTGAGGACTGATCGAATCCTCAATTGCCTGCGGTGGTAACATATTACTATCCATGATTTTGTTGGAATCCATGCGCTCATCACGAGTGACATCGATTGGCAGAGAGTCATCGCCGAGTGATTTCATTTCGTCAGCCGTCAAATATCTGTAGGCGTTGTCGCCGAGCATGGTATCCTCCCCTAAAAGCAATTACGTCGACGAGTTGAGTGCAAGTGCTTTGCCAATCAACAAACAATTCCAAAACATTGATAGAGTTTGGTGACAGAGTGTACAGTATGCGATTGAACAACTACAAGCGTGTTGGGCCAACGTGTGCCCTTTGCACTAATAAACAACTAAAGAAAATAGAAGTCGACAGCGATGAGTGGAAACGAAAGAGATGATTTTTTTTTGCTGTGTCGCTTTGTTTATCGTACGTATATTGGATGCTTTTGTTTGGTGTTTTGTTGTTGGTTGTGCAGTTAGTAAGGGGTTTGAAAGAGCCGAGGACTTACTAGTTAGTAAAGTAGTACCGCTGTAATAAGGAAGATAGACATGTTGCTCGTGAGGTGCACATCCGAATCCTTCCAGAATTTCTTCTCCTGGATTTTTAATGATCAATATTATCAATTTGTGACTTTAACCAATAGTTTGGTTTGTCCCTCATTGAGTATTACGAATGTACATTATGCACTAAGCACTTTTGAATCGATTATAATTCGAAATTCATTTCAAAGAGAGAAAGATTGACATTTAACGTCAGAATGACATTGGCAAATAAAACTTTTAAGTCGGGATAAACTTTTGTAAAGCGTTTCATTTTATAGTAGGAATTTTCAATTAGTTGCTGAATGATTTTGCGATGATTAAACTGAATTTCTAGAGCATGCAATGTAAAGTAATAAATACAATACAAAAACAACAGAGCAAAAGCTTGTACTAAATGAATAACTATGATTTACTTACCGCCTTCTTCTTCCGAATCAGACATGAACGTTTCATGCATAGCTTCAGGAGCAACAACTTTGTACTTCTCCTCAGTTGGATCGTCGGCCGGAGATTCAGTGACCACTTTGAGAGTGTCAATAACAGTTATGTAACCCAATTTTTGGGCAATGTGTAATGGTGTTTGACCGTTCTGTAAACAATTGCACGTTACACACAATTCCAGATAATGATTAGTTAATTTTTACGTACATGAGTAATAGCATTGGGTTGCGCTGAGTTTTCCAATAGCACAGTGACCACATTAGTATGGCCCTGTTGTGCAGCCTGGTGCAATGGTGTATATCCAAGTTGGGTGGTTGATTTAACATCGGCATTGTGCGCGAGCAAAAATTTGACCATATTATTTTGGCCATAATGAGAGGCAACATGCAATGGCGTATATCCTGCTTTGGTGGTTTTATCCACGATAGCTTTATTTTTCACAAGAACATCGGCAACAGCGACGCGATCTTCTTGCGCGCATAGATGTAATGGCGTAAGTCCATTCTTTGCTTGACTATTGGTATCAGCTTCGTGCTCAATGAGCAAAGACGACATATCGACGTGTCCTTCCTGAGCGCTTAAATGTAGCGGCGTAAAGCCGGCTTTGCTTTCGGCATTAGGCTTGGCACCGTATTCCAGTAGCGTATTGGCGATGTCCATTTGATTCTTCTTAGCTGCGATATGTAGCGGAGTGTGTCCATTTTTGGCAGTGGCGTGCGGTGAAGCTCCTTTATCCAGGAGCAGCAGTGCGACATTTTGGTGATCGTAGTGCGAAGCAACATGCAACGGAGTGACGCCATTTTTTCCCTGTGGATCAACGGGTGCGTCCTTTTGCAAAAGAAGCTTGGCGACTTTGATGTTGCCGTACTTGGCGGCCAAGTGCAGCGGCGTGAAGCCTTTCTTTGTGATTGCATTCAACGATGCGCCATTATCGATCAGTATACCAGCGACCTGGAAATGAATAAATATACGTTATTGTTAGTTTTTCGCTCAGCGTGCATACAAATCATAGGCAACCAAAATGGCTGACAAAAGTTACAATGAGTTGAGCCAAATTGATTCGGTGCCAAAAGGTTTTATAGATTTTATCATTGTTAAAAAGAAACAATATGTAAATTAATACTTCTTTATAATGCAACCAAAACAAATCCAAAGTATTGATAATATCAATATAAGTGACAAGGCGATTAAGAAGGATAAGTCTCACCTCGTCCTGCCCTTCCTTGGCAGCGATATGAAGCGCAGTGTACATGTCCTTCGTTGTAGTGTCAACTTTAGCGCCGTGTTGCAGAAGTAACATGACAATGTCCACATTGCCAAGGCGTGAGGCAATGTGAAGCGGCGTCTGTTGTTCACGCGCTCTTGCATCAACCTGGGCACCGTTGCGTAGTAAGATTCTAATGATGTCAGTCTGCAATTGAGTAATATTTTATTGGCTAGTTGTTGTTCGTCGAGCAGTAGCTTTGAATTTAAAACTTATTGAGCGGGAGATTCTCACCTGATTCGCTCGCGCGGCAAGATGCAACGGGGTTTCCCCTCTCACAGTGGGCACGTCCGGATTAGCGTCGTGTTGCAATAAATAGATGACAATATTCATACAGCCCATAAAACTAGCCACGTGTAATGGCGTCAGTCCACTTTCAGTAGTAGCACTGATGCTTGCGCCGTGCTTAAGCAGCAATTCTACAACTTTGATGCGATTTTTCTTACACGCAATATGCAACGGCGTGAATCCGTTAAGCGCTCTCGCATTAGAATCAGCCTGCCGATCGAGTAATAGTTTAGCGACTCGAACGTGCCCGCAGTGAGCGGCAACGTGAAGTGCAGTCAAATAATCGACGGTGACTTCATCGACGGGCGCGCGATGGTAGAGGAGAATGCGAGCGGCGTCTACGTGATCACCTTGGGCGGCCATGTGCAAAGGAGCCAGTCCGTTTTTCGTCTTGCAACTTATCGGCGCCTCGCGTTCTAGGAGCATATCTACGACTTGCTCGTGTCCGCTGCGTGCCGCGCAGTGCATCGGCGTCAATCCGTCTCGCGTCTTCGATTCAATCGTTGCCCCTTTTTCCAGTAACAGCGCGACCATATTGGTTTTACCCCATTTGGCCGCCACGTGCAGCGGTGTGATGTTGTGCTTTGCCGCATAGTTGACGTCGGCTTTCTTTTGGATTAGAAGGTGCGCAATGGCTTCGTTGCCGTAATGTGAAGCTATGTGAAGTGGTGTGAAGCCTGATTTTGAAGTTACATCGGGATTATGGTCGTTCTGCAAACGAAATAAAACGAGTGAATAAAACCTATCGCGAGATATACGCGTAAACAGTGATTTACTTCAAGTAGCAGCTTAGCAGCTTTAACGTCATCCTTTTTGGCTGCTATGTGAAGAGCAGGTAATCGAACTTTGCCCCGTGTGTCGTTTTCCAACAACACGGTGACGACTTTATCGTGGCCCTGTTGCATAGCCACCGCCAACGGTGTGAACCCGTCTTCAGTGGCAAGCGTTTGATTCGCTCCGTTCGACAATAAATATCGAACGACGTTGTCGTGATTTTCTTGAGCGGCCATGTACAACGGCGTGAAGCCATTCTGGCTCTGAACATTGACTTTGGCGCCATGATTGACTAGTAGTTTGACAACCTCCTCTTGCCCAGCAAGGGACGCAATATGCAGTGCAGTGTTTCCCTTTTTGGTGGCAGCGTCGACAGCGGCGCCGCGTTTTAGTAATTCGGCGACCACTTCCGTGTGCCCATCCTTGGAAGCTAAATGTAAAGCGTTGAGCCCATTCTGTAAAATGAACGTGTTACATTTTAGTCGTGCGAGGAAAAAAGTAAAAGTCAGGCGGATGTGCGACTGCAAATTGGATGGCTTTCAATACTAAATATAACGATGACATTAGCGAAAACTCATCGAGGCTTAAATATGTTAACAGTGCACACCGCAATTCAATTCATTTCAATACAATGTATTTAATTAATAAATGTTAAATACTTACGGCATTACTGGTGTTGATGTCAATATTCTGTTTTAGATGTTCGAGGACTTTGTCCAGGTGTCCAGCACGCGCAGCGCGCAAGAAAGATGTATTGCCATCAGACTGTAAATAATTTATTTATATCAATATAAAATAAAACTAAGCATATCAATATTTGGCAAAGCGAAGCATTTTGGACAATTTCCGTTATTGATCACCGCAATACGTTCGGCTTGATGGAAAACCAATAACGATGCTAATGCTTTTCTTCCTTTTTTTTCGTCATTTCCTACTTATGAATTCAGTTCCTAATTTTCAGTAATGGAATAATTTCATTTAAATTCAGTAGAATCTCGAGTGGAATATTAAATTTCGAGGCCAAATAATTGCAATAGCCCGAGTCAAATAATTAATTAGGATTTTCAATTAACCGTTCCACCCGCCAGGAATTGTACGTCATCCTGGAAGTTATTTTTATCATCACGTAGTATCACTTACCATTCGTGGAAATTTAAAGCACAGAGGCATTATAAAAAAACCATCAATTACAGAAAATGCGATGCCATATCGCTAGCAACAAGTCGAAAATAAATTCTTTCACTCGAAAATAGCACACGTTTATATAATATTCAATAGAATTTAAAATTTAAAGACAGTGAATGCGTGTCGACGTTAATATTGCGTCAACAGGTACACAGGTTTAAGCCGGCATAGAAATCTACATTTATCACACTTATCACGTTCACTTAATCGTTAAATACTCGTACACGTAAGCGTATATTGATTAGTAAAAATCACGCACATTGATCAAGTACACATTTATTTAAACACGCACACAGATGCCCGCAGGACTTAAATTTGTATTCAGTCTTTTCTGGTTGGAATATAGGCACTAGTAAACTGGCCCTTTCGGTTGAACTGCCTAAGCAAATTTGTTGATTTGTAGATACTGATATTACAACAAGTTTTTTTAGACGAATAGCATTGATAGGTTTTTCGCAGCAAATGCGAGTTGCAATGATATTGCAATAACCACGCTTTCGGTCCGGCGACGCCTCGTGACGTAAGCGTTCAATACGGAGCGTCGCGACGGCGCGTCTGGGGTTAGTCTACGCCACCCCAGGCACAGGACTATCGCGCGCGCACACCCACACACGCACGTCAAAAACACCAACGCATGATGGCTACAAGTGTACACTATATAGTCACTACACACACCTACTATTCATTTCCGGTAGTTTTCTACGTAAATATAAACAAATTAAATTAAATTTCTTCAACATTTTCATTATTTTTCCTAAACCCACATGTGTCTGTATGTATATTAGGAAATAAAACTTTTACTTGGCTCAAAGTTAGTTGTTTGAATGTTTTCTGGGCTTGGGTTTGTAGCCGAGGAAAAAAGAACAGCGTGGCCCGCAGAAATAAAATTTCGCGTTTGGGTTTTATCGTTAAATCAATAGCGGAATATATTTTCTTACGTCATTTCTGTGTGAATGTAAGTACATATTATATTCGTTAGGCCTGAAACGCTGGAGCGCTGGAGGGCCAGTGGCAAGGGGTCCATAATAACACGGTCACGGGGGGTTGTTTCGCCGACGCGGCGGTGCCACCATTGTGCCGGGCATGAGCGCCACACGCTCTAAACGCACCCCCAACGCTACGCTCGCACGTTTCTTTTTCATATTCATTTACATTAATTCCGTTCGCACGACATCTAGTTACAAAGACGGCTGAGCTGCTTATACGCCTGGTTTCAAAAGTAATATGCGAGTCGGCGGAATGTGGAAAAGTTTGTGACTTTAACATTTGCATAGTGTTGTTTTTATATTTGTTTGAATGTATATTACTCTTTCAAATTATTACACACCATGGGTATATTTAGGTGTTTGCATAGTAAGAGATTTTAATGGTACACAAGTATAAGCTTTTAAGATACGAAAATGTAAACGATATAAACTTAACTTATTAATTAATTACATCCAAAGTATTTATGTTAAAATTATGAATTACTCACAAAGTTATTTAAATAATTATTACGTAACAATTCGGGGTAAATGTTGGTTAAGAAAATATGTTAATATTAAACAAATTTAGAATTATTGACTCTGCATGCATGCATCAAAGTATTTTTCTGCTTTCTCAGAAAAAAATGACTTCACAGCGTGAATATTAAATGAAAAAGCAGTTTTCATGTAAAATTGAATTTTGCCATCACTGTCACTTTGAACCTGAACTCTATAACTCGCAGAGGAAGTTCCTCGTGCCCTTAAAACATCAATCGTGACGCCACTTTGCATCCAATCTCCGTAGCGCTGTCCGTGAAACTATGTTATCTCAGAAAATACTCAACATATTGACAGACAATCATATTTCAGTTGCATACTCCCAAAGTTCAATTTGGCACATCCAATATTCCTCAAATAATTGCATTAACTTGATTTACGCGCATCTTGTACTAGTATGTTGCAACATCTGCGAATGCGAGCCGGATAACGTGTTTATAAGCACTCCAGAAGCAGACGATGCTAAATCGCATGATCATATCCACTAGGTTATTTTAATATCAGCATATATATTAGACGCATACACCAAACCAAAAACAAATAGACGTCAATTTTGCTCCAGATTCGCGTGTAGGTAAAAAACGACATAAGTTACTTGCTGCTCCAGGACTCCTCGTCGCAATACGCATGTTTGTGGAGTAACGATATAATTGAGAGCGTTCCGGCTTTCGGATGTGCTTTTGGCATCAAACCAAATCCAACAAACAAAACTGCGTCTGTTTTTTATACGTACATACTTCCTTTCCTCCAGTCGCGGTATAAGTATTGAGTTTTGACGAATCATCTTTGCGTTATTAAGCATCATCCATCATACGGATTTGGATTATGCTTTTATTTTGTTTTTATCATCCTCCACCTCCGTGCACGTCAAGCATGGGAGTCAAGGTTGTGAAAAAGATGAATTGTATCATTTGAACTTTAAAGTTTAATTTTGTAAGTCGATAAATTTCCCGAAACGGTGACATCTACCTAACCTAGATTTAATTAGTTTCAGGTCGCATAGGATGCTCAACTGTACCAGCTCAGAACCATTTTGTAATTAGAAATTCTTGGGTTATTAAGGGGATCATTAACGAAATTACATGACAGGGTGTATATAAATGTTCGCCTGTTTACCATAATTATAGTAGTACCATAAGATGTGACCAGATAATTTTTAAATTTCCTTCTTTTTAAATACTGTGAATAATTAATTCTAGGTTGTATAAACCTAATGATCTTTTAATAATATACAGGGTGTTAGGTGGATTTTTTTATGATGTAATCGCTACTTCATACATTAATGTTTTGGTAGACAATATTTTCGGAAATGTCTTCCTAACTTTATATGAGTAATTGCTATACTTCTTGTTGATAAGTTACCGAAACAGTTGGTAGCAGTTTTATTTTATATTCGCGTTCACAACACCGGTAACATTTGAACCTTTAATAGATCTCTGACATGCAATGCAGGCATATCCTTCTATTGTGAACCAGGTAGACATAAAATTATAAATAAAATGTTTGATTAATATTGAAGCCAATGTGAAATGAAATCAATAACCCCCACACGTTCTATTTCAATATTTGTCGCTTTGGCAAAAAATGAAAAACCCTCACCTGTCCATTTTCCGTAACCATGTTGGTTTGAGATACAAGCACAACGCGCCGGATCCAACAGTAAACCGCTGCGTCACCACAATGGTGCAGAACTTAATGCTACAGTGCAATGGGTATGATTTCGCGAATGGTGTAAACTGTCACTAAAATATTATACGTGATGTGTGTATAATACGCGTTTCGTTGAGCAAACGGCGTTGGGTGCCTACTAGGTAACCGGCATATTTCCTCCGTGAATTTCCTGCGAGCACTGACGTGCCGGCTAACCAATGGCACGAAACTACCCCAGCACTCAGTATCGAGCGCGCTGAAGGCAAAACTTCGATACCCTCCGGTGCCTGCTGCCGCCACGGCGAAAACAGGGGAGGCAGCCCTTTCTTCGCCGGCGCACAAACCGCGCCGCATTTTCCGCCATGCGGCGCGACGCAAAACTAACCCAAACGCATGCATGCCTGCAGGATTATTCCGCCGCTTGCACTTGTTATACACGAGATGGAACAAGTGCACACAAAGTGAGGGTGTGCGATCACTCATGTTTCACGTTCCATCGATTGTGATACATTCGTACGATTTCGCAAAATCATCCAGGGATGCTGAATTGGACTCATTTTTGTTAAACTGTTAGGCGCTGAGCAAGATCCCGATGATAAATTTAGTGATAAAGGTCTAAATTTGTCGGCATTTGGTTAGAACGCACAAATGCGGTGCGGTAGAGGGTAGAAAACACCCCCGATCAATATCCGAGTGTGGCAGTGCCGCACGACGCCGACAGCGCGCACAGCATGGGGGATGTTGCACAAGCAAGTAATGTTGATAACGTGCTCGCAGCGGCGTGCCTGGACGATTGTATCTTTGGGGATCGAATTGGATTATTGCCGTTTTCAATGCCAAATGTACACAACAAATTGAAAATGTTGAGAATCTCAAAACTCTAACAACTACACACAAAAAAACTGAGAAACTTTCAAAGGAATGACGCCAAACGTTTAGCTAAAATTACACAATCATAACATAAACAAAGCGTGAGTCAACCGGCGAATACGAAAATATGCATCGCAGCTCTAACTCGTGTTTAACGCATTTAATTAACATAGTTTTATGAGACTTTGTTGCAATTGACGTATTGGCGTCTTCGGATGACCTTGTAATATATTTATCTATAAACACTATTTCAATTTTATATTTAGAGATACCAGACACGAATCTAAAAGCAACGACCTTGACTATCTACGGTAATAGTAAATGTATTCAATATTGAAAGAATTATTTCAATTATATACACAATCAAAATCAATTTTTATTTGATTCATTCAAGAAATTTAGACCTCGCTAAACATCATTTGTCCTTCTAACAAGTTTTATTACGAACCATTATAAATTATTTGGTTTGGTATAATAATAAATCTTTATTATATATTTTTCATTTCCTCTTCTTTGAATTGACAATGCTACACGTGACAATGTGACTTTTATTCATTAAATACCCATAGGTATGCATTCCGTAGTAAATTGTAAATAAGATAGACAATGATGTGTTTTATGGAATGTCGGTAATTACGTTTGTTTGCACCGCGTCTCGCAAGTTGTAAACACGCATCTAATGATTTATTCAAATAAACACGCTGTTATGAAGAGTAAACATTTTAGTATCAAACCAAAATATAAAAACATACAATGTAAATGCAATGTTTCAAATGATTTCTTAGTAGAACTTTTCATTTAATTATAGTGATTTGCATTTATTTGCATTCAACATCCATGAAAACTTTCTTCATGACTAGTCAATGTTTTAAAGTTTCCTACTACTCAATGAAGCACAATATTCTTCAAAACTTGAATATAAATGAGTTCTCATAAGAGGAGATTTGTTTCAGTGGTGATTATCCCGTTAAAAACTGTATTTTTTCGTTATTTTTTACGTTTGAGGTTATGTAGACGATAAAATGGCTGTCAATGCATGTCATAAAACGCATCATAACCTCAAACATGAATATGCATCATAAAAACTGCTAGTTTTATGATTTTTCGAATACAATACATTAAAAAACACCGATATTAACCTCAATGCAATATTCACGATACGAACAAATACGTTCCGTATTTATAATTAACGACAACGCTACAGTTGCCCCACATTTGAACCTCTGAATCACCTACAAATTGACACATGAACGACACATACTGCATCCATCAGCAGGAGCAAGACATTTTCAAATCATCTATTTTATAGCTATTCACCAACAGCGCCTACTGTTACTCAATGCACAAATTCTGCAATGCTGCTGTAAAATATGAAAATAAAACAAAAAGTTAACTCAAATATGTGTGCCTCTCGGTAAACAGTAGCACTTAACACAAATTTCTGCGTACGCCCAATTTGAACGCGCGATTCAAACACTAACTGCCGTTAAAAGCTGGAGTAGTGTTTAGTGAGCGATTGGATAGCTGCCAAGTGAAATGTTCTATAGCCGACCGCCGAGTGCACGTGACATCTTCTACGAATGATGAAAATCCGCCAATTGTTAGAGTGTTTACGTCCGCGCGTTGCCGCATTCTGTTGTTTAATGTTGATCCTCGACTCTTGCGCGATTTTCACTTCCAGCCGCTTACAACGGATTTCAATTTAACGCTCACTTCCTCGCACGCTACACGCGCTTTTTCAGCGTGTGGTCGACCACAACAACAGAAAATAAACGAACTTACCGACGAGGCATTTGTTGGCAGCGAGCTTATTGAGCGGTCTTGTTGATCATCGTAATCGAACATTTTTAGTGTAGCAAAAGATTAAACTTTGAGTTAAAAAATAAAAACGCGTTTTACTGCAGTTTATAAATATTAACAGTAAAAGTTCCAATGAGTAGAAACAGAGATTTCGCCAGCAAAGGTTACGTCGACGTGAATTTACAATTCCAATGCGGCATGATTCTTTTTCGTGCGAAGTTTTATTCTTATTCAAATATTTTGAATCCGTAATAATGTTACGCGTATGGTAAAAAAAGGATCGCGTAACAAGATATTTTCACTTCGATGCTGGGAAATAGTGTCCTTGATACGTCCTTCAGATAGGCGAATCAAGGATTCGATTCGATTCGGAGTTGTCGCACGCCCGTGGTGAGATGGAAATGCGCGTTAGGAACACGTACGCGGAAAGTCGCAAGGAAACTGGCGAATTTGCCTTCTAATATCACACACACTCGTGCGCTCGCGCTCAACAGTGGACAAACCATAATAACATATAAAGTGAGTAAATGTATATTTTTAGCGAACGCATCACATACATTCACACACACCGTGTCTATTTCTATTTAGCCGCCAAGCAGCGCGCGAAGCTGATCGCATCGGCGAAACGCGCCGCCGCTCGCGAAAACCATCCACGTTCCTGTCGATTAATGATGCTATCAATAAATTAAAGGCCTCTTAATTGATCGCGTTCGCGCGCTACTACTGCCGAAACCATTCGGCTCGTCTTAATTCATTTCATTAATTAATGGATTGATAGTCATGATACGGACATTGTTTTTCTGACGACGCAAAATTGTAAATTGCCATTTCGTGTATATGTGCCTCTGTGTGAGGACAATTTTCATGCGAGGAGATGTGAGGATTGTTGCGCATTGCTCTAACTTCTCGCATACAACGGTTTCGCATGGCGAGCGTAATTTAATTAAAATATTCCGACGACCTAATGCGCTAACATTGCCAGCAAAACTGTTCATGTAGGGTTCCAGTATTATATGGGGCGAGAACTCTGCGCTGGGGACTCTAGACCTCGACAATTAATCATATTTTCCTCCAACGCTTTTCTGCTTGTTCATCACAACCGAAACTCTAATTTAGTAATTAAATTATAGACTTACACGACTTATTCGAATGGTACCTACATTTCAATTGGAAAATGTTTAATTCTTTAGTTTCAATTAATTTTTTGCCCTGCACATTGATTATCTAGAAATAAATTAAATCTAATAAAATATTCGTCCTATTTATTGACTAATAAAACATAAAAATCAATAAATTCCACCGAAAACTCAAACAAAAAAACAATTTTCCGCCTGGTTTATATTTATCCACTGACCGTGATTTACCCCTCAACTTCAAGACAACTCTTTACAACTTAGTAAAAATTCTATATAACTTTCGGGTTAACTTTTTTGTTTCTAATCTGGCCATAAATCATTTCCCAGCTTTAAGCATCTACCAAAACTTTTTTTGGCTAAAACACGACTAAATTTAAATAAAAACTTTTTTATGTCTACACTTATATTGCTTTGAAAATAATCTTGTGCCTCTAATTAAAACTTTACGTACGTAGGCCCGTCAACGTTGCGTATTGATCTCATCAAACGCAAAATATTTGATAAATTTATTTATTATTGTGTCATATATTTATAAGCAGAGATATGTTATTTCAGTAGACGCTTCAAGGTTGGATCGCTGCACGTTTCTCACCATCTCACACACGCTGGAGCGTAATGAGTTGTAAACTTACGTTCCGAAAAATGTTTACGTTACAACCGAATGCGCAATGGCCACACCGATCTGTGCTAAATAGTATTCCATTTCATATCGCTAATTTTGTAGTTTTTGTTGTACACGATTATCGAAAGGTAGGTATCAAATTGCTTCGTGAAATGGTAAGTGTAGAAATTAATATAAGTAAAACTTTTATGAGTTTTATACATCTACATATTCTTACTTAAATTTTATTGTCAGTTGTAAGTACTACTCTTAAGTGGTTATGTGAATTGTGTAATCAGAGAAGTCATAAAGCATTCTTTAAATTATTTTACTATAGCATAAAATTCTACAGAATGTTTAACACCTAGTTAGTATAAAATTAAGTACCATTGATATTCAAATTATACGCGTTTCGTTAGGAATACATGACATGAATAAATTTCATCCTTAAATGAGTGTAT